ATCAAGGTGAGACAACTGAGATGAGGCAGATCATCTCTCTTTAAGTTTGTTTGCCTAACTGGCTGTGTCAGTATGCGGCGCATGAGTATTAAAGCTGAATCCACCTTCTCCCTGAAAGACGAGTTGTTCAATCCCAGCACCCTGGAGCTACTCTCCGGGAACGTGGCGGCAGTATATCCGGGCTTCCGTCGACAAGCGTTTGAACGGAAGGTTCTGGGGCGCTTTGATGAGTTGGAGTTGAAGGCGCGTATAGACTGGATCGCGCAGTGCCTGAACGAATATCTACCTGAAAATATTGCGCAAGCGAGGGAAGTGTTACTCGCGGCCTTGCCTGAACCGTTAGATCCTGATCTGCGGGATAATGATTTTGGTCAATTCATCTGGGTCGTGCCAGGTGAGTGCATTGCACTGAATCACTGCAACGAAAAACATTTTGCGGCGGGTTTAGACTTTCTGCGCGAATCAACCAAAAGATTTTCAGCCGAGTTTGCTATCCGCCCTTTCCTGCTTCATTTCCCTGAGCCCAGCATGGATTTTGTGCGGGATGCCGCAGTTGATGACAATTATCATGTGCGGCGGCTGGCTTCGGAAGGTATTCGACCCTTTCTGCCCTGGGCGCGGCGGGTCAATCTGCCACCTGAACAGATTGTCACGGTGTTAGACAGCCTGCATGCTGACCCAACGCGGTACGTGACTCGATCAGTAGCCAATACGTTAAATGACATCAGCAAGATTGATGCGAAGCTGGTTATGCAGACGCTGCAGAACTGGCAAGGTCAGGCTCGCCAGGATGCTGATGAGCTGGACTGGATGACGCGCCATAGTTTGCGCACCCTGCTCAAGGCAGGTGACAGCGATGCCCTGACATTAACGGGGTATCCGGCAAACCCCGAGTTCAGTATCAGTAAGGTGCAGGTCAGCAAGCGGGTTGTGTTGGGAGAATCGCTCAACTGGCGTGCTGTTCTGCACAGTAAAAAGCGGCAGAAACTGAAGATTGCCTTGCGCGTACATTTCCTCAAGGCAAACGGCGGCTATGGGGTAAAAGTATTTGCCTTGAAAGATGTGCAGGTTGACGCTGGCGCTGACATCGAGCTGATCAAAAATCTACCGTTTAAACCGCTGACCACACGCGTACTTTATGCGGGCAAACATCTGGTTGAGCTGTCTGTTAACGGCTGTATCAGTGACTCTCACGGGTTTGAATTAGTCGCCTGAAGGCAAAGGGGCCAGGTGTGCTTTAACAGCCTGCAGGTCAGGGGTTACTAAACCCGGAACACCCTCAGTTAGAAATAACTCGTGGATATGCAGGCTGGCCAGCGCGAGTGCAGTGGGTGTCGAGGGTGTTAGCTCACCCAGTTGTTGTTGGTATTTTTTGATGTAAGCGGCAGCTGCCTTAACCGCCTCATGTTTGCGTTTGTCTTCGCTGTTTTGGTAACTGAAGCGCCAGCGACGGACCTGCTCATCGACTTCGGCTTTAGCGTCCCCTTCGCCGGCTTGGCGTGCGGAAATACCGGCAGCAGCAAATACTCGACAGTCGTAGTCCCGACATGTCTGCGGACGATGGGGGTAAATGGAACAGCTGTTCTGCTTTAACATCGGGCACTTGCCGGTGTCGTCAAATCCCATCACCCACTGTTTTCCACCGCTGCCTGGCGCGGGAAAAATGAGTGCCTGGGGCACGTGTTTGCGGGTCTCTTCTTCATGCTCCGCGATATGAATAAAGTAACTTGCGCGGCAGCACGCGTTACACTCTCCGCAGGGAACGTCGGCAGCTTCAGCTGCCCGGGTAAGATTGAGCCAGCGGCCAAAATCACCTGCCTCAATAACAGAAGTATTATTCATCAAAGCAGATCGTGGGCAAAGATAGACAAGTATAGCGTGATCAAAGGAGATCAGAAGTGAAGAAGTGGTTGCTCGGTTTGGGCGTGGTCCTGCTGTTGTTGTTTGCATTACTGTTTTTTGTGTTGCCAGGATTGGGTTTATCGCCGAGTAACCTTAAGGCAAATATTGACGTCGGAGGCGCTATGTCTGCAAAGCTTGCCTGTTCAGCACGGTATGTAAGTGGCTTTGATGCTGCTCAGGCTAAGGCAGATGTTGTCTCTTACAGTCCTATTTTTGAGCTGGTGAGTATTTCTCATGACGATCAACGACAACGCACCGAAGCAAGCCTGTTAGGAATGGGCGCGGCTGCTGCGCAGTATCGTCCTGGGCTTGGCTGTACCTTAGAAAGAGTCTCAAACTTCCAGCTCGATAGCCTGCAGGTGCCGGAACTGCCTGCCGGGCAGGGCTTATGGCCCCTCGGCGAACAGGTGCAACCGGCTGATGAAGCCCTGCAGGAGAAGATGGAAGCCATTTTGGCGCGTGACAACCTGGCTGGATTGCAGACGCGCGCGTTGGTGCTGGTGCACGATGGTAAAGTTAAAGCCGAAAGTTATGCGCAAGGTATTACCGGACAGACGCCGCTGCTGGGCTGGTCAATGGGTAAAAGCATAACGGCCATGATGTTCGGTCGGATGGAAATGCAGGGCCTGTTGAGTGTCACTGAGGATAATCTCTTTCCTGCCTGGGCCAACGATGAGCGCCGCACCATTACACTGGAAAATCTGCTGCAGATGACCAGCGGCCTGGCCTTTTCCGAGGTTTATGCGCCGGGTAGCGACGCAACTGACATGCTGTTCCTGGCTCCGAGCGCAGCAGCGGTTGCCTTACGCAGCCCATCTGCTTATCCGCCTGGTACCCACTTTGCTTATTCGTCAGGAACATCTAATCTGTTGATGCACCTGATGACCGAACGGCTCGGCGGGCCGCAAGCTGCGCTCAACTATTTGTGGCAGGAAATATTTGCACCCCTGGGTATTCGCAATGCCGTATTTGAACCTGACCCCAGTGGTGTGATGGTTGCCAGTTCGTACATTTATGCGTCGCCGCGCGATTGGGCGCGTCTGGGGCTTGCCAGCCTGAAACAGAGTCTGGTCAGCCAGGACTGGTCGCGACGTGCACACACGGTTAACAGTAGCGCTAACGGGCCTGCCTATGGCTACCAGTTCTGGCTCAACGATGGTGGTGAGGGGCTGCGCTGGCCCGACCTGCCCGCTGATGCCTATGCGATGACCGGTAACCGCCAGCAGGTTGTCATGATTGTTCCCTCCCGGAATACGGTGATTGTTCGTCTGGGTTGGAGTCCGGGTCGGTATCCGACCAGCAGCAACTTCGCTGACCTGATATCTGTTTTGGCCAACTCACACCAGGAGTCCATGTAATGCAAGGTGTTACAAAGCTGCGCGCCAGATGTTCACTGGCCTTTGACGTCGAAATACCAACGCCCATGGTGCTCATGCTCAGGCCTCGCAGTAGCGCGGGGCAGTGGGTTGTGCGGGAAGAGTACAGCTTCACACAGGATGTCATTGTTGATGAGGTAGTAGATGCCTATGGGAATCTGTGCCAGCGCCTGGTTGCACCGGTGGGTCAGTTTTCGGTATTCACGGAAGTTTATGTAGATGTTCAGGCGGGTAAACCCGTCCCGCTTGAGGCGGGATTTATTGACATACCTGAATTGCCTGCCGATACACTGGTGCATCTGTTGCCCAGCCGTTACTGCGAGGTTGATCGATTCGGCGAAATGGCCGCGCAGATTGTTGGTGATGCAACTCCGGGTTATGCCCAGGTGGAAGCGATCAGCAGCTGGGTGCGACAGAATATTCGCAATCGACCACTCTCCAGCACCTATCCGGTTTCTGCCATTGAAGTTAATCAGCGCGGCGAAGGTGTGTGTCGAGACCTTGCGCAACTGGCGATCACGTTATGCCGTGCCTTGTGTATCCCGGCACGACTCGTGGTGGGTTATCTGCACCAGCTGGAGCCAATGGATATTCATGCCTGGTTTGAAGCGTATGTGGGTGAGCAATGGTGGACGTTTGATCCAGCTGTAGACCTGGGTGATGCGCCTCGGATTGCAATCGCTCGAGGTCGCGATGCTACCGATGTGGCTATTTATAACCAGTATGGGCCACTGTTGCTGCCGACCGATATGCAGGTAGCCGTTGAACTGGTGTAATTTCAGCGTTGTGCTGTAACAGGAAGAGTCAAGGGATAAACTGCTCGTTCAGGATGCGCTCCTCCAGGTTATGGTCCGGATCGAACAACAAAGTAGCATGTTTGTTAGTGGCCACACTGATATGCACCTCGGCAACATTACGCACTTCGTGTGCATCAGCCACGGCACTCACAGGTCTTTTATAATGGTCCAGCACGCGCAGAGTAATCTGTGCATCCTGGCGCAATACTGCACCCTGCCAGCGCCGCGGTCGAAATGCGCTGATTGGTGTCAGGGCTAATACGCCGGAACCGATGGGTAGAATCGGGCCATGGGCAGAAAGGTTATAGGCAGTGCTGCCTGCCGGGGTGGCCACCAGGCAGCCGTCGCAGGTCAAACACTCGATACGCACCTTGCCATCAATCGAGACTTCAATATTTGCGGCCTGACGGGTTTGTCTTAACAGAGAAACCTCGTTAAAGGCGTAAGCCTCCTGTTGTACGCCGGAGTCCGTTGTTACCTGCATATGCAAAGGCCGGAGTTTTTCCACGTGGGCGTTTTCCAGCCTGGTCAGAAGATCGTCATCACTGTAGCCGTTGAGCAGAAAGCCCACGGTGCCTCGGTTCATGCCATAAATGGGTTGTCCCTTTGACATATTCCGATGCAGGGTTTCGAGCATGAATCCGTCACCGCCAAGGGCAACCAGGATATCTGCATCGGCGGGTTCGACGTTTGGATAGCGCTGCTGCAATAGCGTGCATGCTTCCTGTGCTTCCGCCGTGGGACTGGCCACAAATGCGATTTTTTTATCCAATTCATTCCCCTTGGTGCCGGCGCAGTCTAGCTAGCCTGAGGCTTAAAGTACAAGCCGCTGCGGGAGGCCGACGAGACATAGGCGATGCTGGTTGCCTAGACGTCTGTTGGGTATGATCTGAGTCGGATTTGTCTATCAGTCGAGGGGGGAAACATGACGGCACAGCAGATCGTAGAACATCGCGACGTGATCATCGTCGGTGCGGGGATATCAGGGTTGGGTGCAGCTTGTCACCTGCAGCGTGAAACGGACAACAAAGACTACGTTATTCTGGAAGGTCGGGACGCAATTGGCGGTACCTGGGATCTCTTCCGTTATCCAGGCATCCGCTCCGACAGCGATTTGTACACCTTTGGCTATGATTTCAAGCCCTGGCATGGCCAACCCATCGCTACCGCAGAAGAAATATTGAGTTACCTGCACGAAGTTGTGGATGAAAACGAACTGGCACCACATATCCGTTTCAATCACTGGGTAACAACAGCATCGTGGTCAACAGAAGATGCATTGTGGACAGTGGTTGCACAGTGTGAAGGTGAAACCCGGGTGTATACCGGGAACTTTCTGTTCATGTGCCAGGGTTACTACGACTACGAAAAGGGCTATCGCCCGGATTTTCCCGGTGAAGAAAACTTTGGTGGCACCATTGTGCATCCTCAGCAGTGGCCGGATGACCTCGACTACAGCGGCAAGCGTATGGTCGTCATCGGCTCGGGGGCAACCGCCGCAACGATTCTACCGGCGGTAGCTGACAAGGTAGAGCACGTCACTCAACTGCAACGCTCACCGACGTATTACATGTCCATGGATAACAGCGAAGAAGACGCCACCATTGAGGAGTTGCGTGCGCTGGATGTGCCTGTTGACTGGATTCATGGCATCAAACGCCGTAAAGCGCTGGCCTTTGGCGAAGAAATGGCGGTCCGCTCGAAGCAGGAGCCAGAAGTGGTGCGAGCTGAGCTGATCAATGCAACCAAAGAAGCCCTGCCTGAAGGCTTTGACGTAGACAAACACTTTACCCCCAGCTACAACCCCTGGGACGAGCGCTTGTGCCTGTTGCCCGATGGCGACATGTTTACCGCTATTTCTTCCGGTAAAGCCTCAGTGGTCACAGATCATATTGATCACTTTGTTGAACACGGCATTGTGCTCAAGTCCGGTGAACTGTTGCCTGCAGATATTGTTGTTTCTGCCACAGGTATAGAGCTGTGTGCCCTGGGTAACATTGAATTCTCTGTCGATGGACGCGGCGTCAACCTGCCTGACCGTTGGACCTATAAAGGCATCATGATTTCGGACATACCGAACCTGGCCTGGAGTTTCGGCTATATTCGAACGTCCTGGACCATGCGTTCTGACATGATTGCCCATTATGTCTGTCGTCTGCTCAACCATATGGACGAAACAGGCAGCCGTCAGGTAACCCCGCGCCTGCGTGAGCAGGACAAAGGCATGAATGGCAAAGGCTTTATTGATGCTGAAGATTTTGCACCCGGTTACATGCAGCGTGGTGTGCCGCGTCTGCCGAAGCAGAGTGATCAGGGGCCGTGGACTAATTCCCAGGACTACTATGCGGAGAAAGATCTGTTGCCGGATGCTGAACTCGAGGACGGTGTCCTTTCGTTTGAAAACCCAGGGCCAGGCGATAAAACCAGAGCGGCCTGACCTAACGTTTTAGGGCAGTCGTTTTTGTAACAGCAAGATGGGGAGAGGGTAATGAGAAATAGATCAGTTATCAGGTCGATTGTAGTGGTGGGCATCGTTGCAGCAACGATGCTGTCAGGTCTGTCTGTGAAAGCTGAACAGCCTGCGCCAATGCCTGAGAATGATTTGCAGAATCTGCCGGATCCCGGTATTTCGCCGCTGTTCTGGCAGGGTGATGCGCAGATTGTTGGTTTTCGAAACTCAGAACATCTGGGGCCAACACGGAAAATTGAGGCGGGTGACAAGGTGTTTGCTCTGCCCCGCGATGAGGTTGATCTGGGTGACGTCACCTTCTCTGCCGAGGGTGTCACCATGACCGTCGATCAATATCTGGAAAAAGAGCGCATCGGTGGCTTGCTGGTGGTCAAAGACGGCAAAATCCTCTTTGAGCGTTATGGCCTGGGTAACACGCCGGACACGCGCTGGGTGTCGTTTTCGGTGTCGAAGTCTGTTGTGGCGATGCTGTTTGGTGCCGCCATCAAAGATGGCTACATAAAAAGTGTTGATGAGAAAGTAACCGATTATCTGCCGCGACTGAAAGGCTCTGTATATGATCAGTCGAGTATCAGAAACCTGCTGCAGATGGCATCTGGTGTGGCCTGGAACGAAGACTACGCCGATCCGAACTCTGACGTGGCTCAGGCGACCTATGAGACGCTGGCGCTTTACGATTATCTGGCGGATAAGCCACGTGACGCCAAGCCCGGCGAGAAGTTTAATTACAATACTGCGGAAACCAATCTTGCGGGTACGTTGCTGCGCTCTGCTATCGGCAATAACCTGTCTACCTATCTAACAGAAAAAATATGGCGTCCATTTGGCATGGAAAGCGACGCGGCATGGAACCTGACAGAGCCTGGTGGCGGCGAATTTGGCGGCTGTTGTATCAATGCAACATTACGGGATTATGCCCGGCTTGGACTGTTTGCTTTGAATGACGGCAAACTGGCTGATGGTACACCGATGCTGGCCCCGGGCTGGATGGCAGAGTCCACCGAACCTTCCAAGGGATTTGCAGGCTATGGTTACTTCTGGTGGTTAAGTGAGTCTGGTGCTTATGAAGCCTCTGGCATATTCGGTCAGGGTATTCATATCAATCCTGAACACAATGTGGTGATTGCCATTCACAGCGCCAGAAAGCAGGCCAGCGATGATCTGGGCTGGGCCCTGCAGGACGCTCTGTATGTCGCGTTAACTGAGGCGGTTGCGCGATAGCAGCCGTAAAAACTTCCCGTGCCAGCTCGATGTGTGAGAAATATTCACAATAACTGCTGATAATTAGTCAATAAATAGCATTTCCTGCGCCACTATCGGCCTAATATTCTGTTTTTACGTGAGTAATGGGGAAATCCTATGTTTGAGCAATTTACCCAACATCCTGCGGCGGTAGGTGAGAGTTACCTGCAGCATTTTGCCAAGGCGTCCGGGTTTGGATTGCACATGATCGCGGCGGGGTTGGCCTGTGTTATCCACGCAGTGTTTCCGTTCCTGTTCCAACATACCGGCAGCGATGTGATCAGAAATCTCAACCAAGCCATGGAGCAGCGCAGGTTACGCAACGCTGAAAATGAGGAAGTTGTGCCGGACGAGCCTTTAGCTGCCGCAGAATCCGGGGCGCCTTCGATTGGTTGAATCCGTGCGCCTCGTCTATGATGCGGCCTTTCTAAGAAGCAGGGTTTTCAGACCCGGAATTTATGTCGAAGTTGCTGGTTGTACTCTTTGTTAACGTGTTTACCCTGGTCGCGTTTGCCGCGCCGATTGATCACAAACGCCTGACCAATGTGGATCAGGAGCCGGGCAGCTGGTTGAGCCACGGGCGCAACTACGCAGAAGATCGACATAGCCCGTTAACACAGATTACCCCGGACAACGTCAGCCAGCTTGGCCTTGTCTGGTATTTTGATACGCAGACAACGCGTGGTCTGGAAGCCTCACCTCTGGTGATCGACGGCCACATGTATTTCACTACGAGTTGGAGTCAGGTGTTTGCACTTGATGCACGCAGTGGAGAGCTGCTCTGGCAGTACGACCCTCAGGTACCCAGAGCCTGGGGCGTCAATGCCTGCTGTGATGTGGTGAACCGTGGTGTTGCCGCCTGGGGTGACGCCGTTTATGTCGGCACTCTGGATGGTCGACTGGTGGCCCTGGATCGGCAGGACGGTCGAGTGCTTTGGCAGACGCTCACCATCGATGCTGATAAACCCTACACAATTACCGGCGCCCCGCGGGTTGTTAATGGTCAGGTTATCATTGGTAACGGCGGTGCGGAGTATGGCGTGCGCGGCTATGTCAGTGCCTATGATGCAGCCAGCGGTGAGCTGTCGTGGCGTTTCTATACCGTTCCTGGCAAACCCACTGAACCCTATGAATCTCCAGCCATGGCTATGGCCGCGCAAACCTGGACTGGAGATGTGTACTGGCAGGTTGGCGGCGGCGGAACAGTCTGGGACAGCATGGCTTATGATGCCGAACTGAATCTGTTGTACATCGGTGTGGGCAATGGCTCGCCCTGGAACAGATGGGTCCGTAGTCCGGGTGGTGGTGATAATCTGTTTTTATCATCCATCGTGGCTCTGCATGCCGACACTGGCGAGTATGCCTGGCACTATCAGACAACGCCGGGTGACACCTGGGACTACACAGCTACCCAACATATGATTCTAGCGGAACTTGAAATCCGCGGAAAAACGCGCAAAGTCATCATGCAGGCGCCAAAAAACGGATTCTTCTACGTGCTGGACAGAATCACCGGAGAGCTTCTGTCTGCAGACAAATACGTGCCCGTGACCTGGGCGTCCCATGTGGACCTGGAAAGTGGCCGTCCGGTAGAAACGGCTAACGCCGATCATTCAGATTCTGAACAGAATACTGCGCCTGCCGCGTTCGGTGGTCACAACTGGCAGCCTATGGCATTCAACCCCAACACTGGGTTGGTCTACATACCCGCGATGCAGGCAGTACAGCCTTTCACAACGGATCAGAACTTTACCCCTCTGAGCGGTGGTCATTGGAATCTGGGGCAGGGTGAACCCGTAGGCAAAGGTGGCGTGAGCGGCATTCCAAGAGACATGGTGATGTCCATTGTTAAAAGATTGATGCGCGGTAGATTAATTGCCTGGGACCCTTTGGCAGGCGAAGCGCGCTGGCAGGTTGAGCATGACAATCTCTGGAATGGCGGCTTGCTCAGCACCGAATCCGGCCTGCTGTTCCAGGGTACCGGGGATAGACGCCTGGTTGCCTATGATGCTGCTGACGGTGATCTCCTATGGTCATCACCTACGGGCACGGGCGTGGTTGCGCCACCTGTTACGTATTCAATTGATTCAGAGCAATACATCGCCGTTCTGGCGGGGTGGGGTGGCGTGGGCGGTTTGTCGCTACCGCAAACGATGCAATCCAACGGCACCAGTCGGCTGCTGGTCTATAAATTAGGCGCCAACCTTCCCACGCCGGTTAACGAACCTGCACAGCTGACGTTGCTGCAGGAGCCCCCTGCCAATGATGTGAGCAGCGCGTCGATTACACGCGGTGAAGATCTGTACCTGCAACACTGCATGCGTTGCCATGGTGGTTTAGTTGGTGAAGGCGGGGTTGTGCAGGATCTGCGTTATATCAGTCCTGGCAGCCACGAAATATTTGACCAGATTGTGCTGGGTGGTATTTACGCACCGCTGGGCATGGTGAGTTTTTCTGATGTGCTCGATGAAGATGACGTTGAAGACATTCATGCCTTTGTTCTGGATGCCGCGCACGATACCTGGGCGCAACAGCAGGAAAGTGATTGGTGGCGTGACAGTAAACTCTGGCTCTACGATCACCTGGGCGAGCTTGCAGCCTGGATACTTGCACCTGAGTAAGTTACACGCCCAATCAGGGCGTGCATCCCAGGTCCATTGGTCGGTATGATGTCGATCATGGAAACCATATTGATCACCGGTGCAAATCGAGGTATCGGCCTGGCTCTGGTGTCTCGATACCTTGAGGCCGGACATCAGGTTGTTGCGACCTGTCGATCGCCCACCGAAGCTACTGACCTGCAGGCCTTGCTTAAAGACGGTGCAGCGCTTGAAGTGCTGCCTCTTGAGATCACAAGCGAACAGCAAACACAGGAGTTGGCAGCCACTCTGGCGGGTCGTCGAATAGACGTCCTGATTAATAACGCAGGGGTGATGGGAGGTGATCGGCAAAGCCTGAAGAATATGGATTACGCTGCCTGGCTTGATGCATTTTCTATCAACACCATGGCGCCATTCCGGCTCAGTGTGGCGCTATTGGATAACCTGTTAGCTGCTGAGCGCCCACGGATTATTACTGTTTCCAGCCAGATGGGTGCATTAGCGCGTCAGAGCAAAGGTGCGTTGATCTATCGAAGCAGCAAAGCCGCAGTGAATAAAACCATGCAGGTGTTAGCGCTGGAACTTGAAGCCCAAGGCGTGATTGTCTGCCCGGTACACCCAGGCTGGGTGCAGACAGATATGGGCGGTGCTCAGGCAGACCTCACCGCGGCGCAAAGCGCTGAGGGTCTTTACCAGCTCATTAGCCAGCTGGACCAATCCAAATCCGGGCGTTTCTGGTGCTATGACGGCAGTGAACACCCCTGGTAGAAAACAGCCGTATAGTCTTTTAATCAACTCGACTCTGATAACTGTGTTCGTATCCGCAGTTCGCCTTCCAGGGTTTTGTGCACGGGGCAGCGGTCGGCAATTTCCAACAGTCTGGTGCGCTGCGCGTCACTTAGGTTGCCCCGCAGTGTGATCGAGCGGCTCAGCACGTCTAAACGTGCGCTCGGCTCGTCGCATTCATCACAATCCTTGCTGTGCTCACGGCTATGGCTGAGCGTAATATCTATATCATCTAACGGTATCTTTTTGTGGTTGGCGTACATACGTATGGTCATGGATGTGCAGGCGCCCAGTGCCGCCAGCAGATGCTCGTAAGGATCGGGTCCTAAATTTTCACCACCCACCTTTTTTGGTTCATCTGCCACCCACGCGTGATCGTCAGTAGAAATCTGACGGAGAAATTTTCTGTTGGCTTCGCCAACCAGAACATGGCCAGTTTCAACGGTTTGTCTTCGCTTGTCACTCGCCAGGGGAATATAGCGTTTTGCCCAGGCGGCAATCACGTCTGCGACGTATTCTGCATCTTCGGCGCGTGACACGAGGTGGTCTGCACCGTCTAACGAAACAAAACTCTTGGGGTGTTTAGCATGCTGGAAAATCTTGCTGGCTTCGTCGATGGATACAACCTCATCCAGTGGGGCATGCAGAACCAGCAGTGCACGTTTTAATCGCGACAGCTTTTCAGTCACCTTTGCGTCGGTCAGGTCAGTAACAAACTGCTGCTGGATCGGGAAAGATCGCTGACCCACCGTAAGGCTGTAGCTCGGGGTTGTTGCTGAGGTGTCTTTTTCAAGGGTCTGTAACAGATGTGCAGGCGTTGACGGTGCCCCGATCGTGCACACCGCCCGGCATTCGGGTATGAACTCTGCCGCCGCCAGCACCGCTGCGCCGCCGAGGCTATGGCCGATCATCATGACGGGTGCGCTGTATGAAGTGCGTAAGTAATCTGCCGCCGCAAGCAGATCCTCAACGTTTGAAGAGAAGTTGGTGTTGGCAAAATCACCTTCAGAGTTACCCAGGCCGGTAAAATCAAAGCGCAGTACAGCAAAGCCGTGGGCGGTAAGTGCTTTGCTGATGCGCGATGCCGCGATGATGTTTTTGCCACAGGTAAAGCAGTGGGCAAACAGCACATAGCCGCGTGGCTCTGGCTGTGCTGGTAGGGTCAGCGCGGCGCTGAGTTGTTCACCTTGTGTGTTCGGGAATTCGATTCTGAGCTGTTGCACGTTCACCTGCGCTGTAAGTTTGAGGGTTCTGTTCAATGAAACCATGAACGTCAGGAGGGGTGGGATGCAAGTATTTTTGCGTTCTGGTGATGCTTGCCGCTACCCTTGTGCCCCCGCTGCGATGCTGAAGAACCGCTTGGCCAAACTGTATTTCTATTACTCATCAATGAACGCTGGTAAATCCACGGCGTTGCTGCAATCCAGCTATAACTATCGCGAGCGGGGCATGCACACTTTGATTTTAACGCCGGAGTTTGATGACCGTTTTGGTGTAGGTCGGGTCACCTCACGGATTGGCATCGACGCACCCGCGTCGACCTTCGATCATTCTGACAACCTGTTCTTGGTAGTGGAAGGTCATCATCAACAGCAGGTGCTGCACTGTGTGCTCATTGACGAAGCGCAGTTTCTGACCAAACAGCAGGTCTTTGAGCTGGGTGAAGTGGTCGATCGGCTGAAAATCCCTGTGTTAGCTTATGGATTACGGACAGATTTTCGGGGCGAACCCTTTGTGGGCAGCCAGTACCTGTTGGCCTGGGCTGACAATCTCGAGGAGATTAAAGCTATCTGTCATTGTGGTAAAAAAGCCACCATGGTGATCCGCGCGGATGATCAGGGACGCGCGTTAAAAGATGGTTCTCAGGTTGAGATCGGTGGTAACGAGCGTTACATATCTTTGTGCCGAGCACATTTTAAAGACAGTTTTGACAGCAACGGATCTGCTTAACGTGTGCAAGTGCGCAAAATCTTCGTACACTCTCATTTTGTTTTAAGAAAGAAGCCAATATGTCTGAATCTACGAGCTATGAGCCACCTAAAGTATGGACTTGGGATACTGAAAGTGGCGGTCGTTTTGCGAGTATAAACCGACCGATTGCAGGACCAACCCATGACAAGGATCTGCCAGTAGGCGACAACCCACTGCAGCTCTATTCTTTGGCGACACCTAATGGCGTTAAAGTTACTGTGCTGCTGGAAGAGTTGTTGGCCTTAGGTCATACCGGTGCAGAATATGATGCTTATACGATCAACATCGGTGAAGGTACCCAATTCAGCAGCGGCTTTGTTGCCGTTAATCCCAATTCGAAAATTCCTGCACTGCTGGATACAACAACGTCACCGCCAACCCGAGTGTTTGAGTCTGGCGCTATCCTCGTTTACCTGGCTGAAAAATTTGGCGAGTTCCTGCCGACAGATCCAAGCGCGCGTGCAGAATGTATGTCCTGGCTGTTCTGGCAGATGGGTAGTGCCCCATATCTCGGTGGTGGCTTTGGGCATTTTTACGCTTATGCCCCTGAAAAATATGAATATCCGATCAATCGTTTTGCGATGGAAGTAAAGCGTCAGCTCGACGTTCTGAATCGTAACCTGGCAGAACGTGAGTACCTGTGTGGGGATGACTACAACATCTCTGATATGGCGAACTACGCCTGGTACGGCAACCTGGTGATTGGCGAAATTTATTCTGCACAGGAATTTCTGGACACTGCTTCCTACACACACGTTGCAAGGTGGGCGCGGCAGATTGATGAGCGGCCAGCGGTAAAACGCGGCAAACGCGTTAATAAAGCCTGGGGTCCGGAAGAAGAGCAGGTGATCGAGCGCCACAGTGCCAGCGATCTGGACTAGAAAGCGAGGCTTACAGGCCAGGATTGTGATCCTGGCCTGTAAGCTCATCAGACCTTAGAAGATAAAGCGAACGCCCGCTTCAATGGTTCGTCCCGGTGCCGGGGCGAAGTCTTTGATAAAAGACGTATGATAACGCTGCTCATCGTCAGTCAGATTTTTACCGTTGACAAACAGGTTGAGGCTGCCGTCAGCCACGGGGATCTCCATGCCGACATAGGCGCGTAAGTCATTGTAGCTGTCCGTCACCAGCTCCCGCTGTGAAACATCATTCTGTCGATTCACATTAAGGTAGTCCAGAGACGCGGTGATCAGACCAAAAGTGGTCTCGACACCTAATCCATAGCGCAGTGGTGGAATGCGTGGCAGATTATCGTTGCCGGAGACATCAACTTCCGCGTCGACCCAGTCGAACATGCCGCGCAGCATAAGTTCACCGTTGTCCCACTGTGCAACGCGCGCAGAGACTTCAAGATCAACCCCCGCAAAGGTGGCGTCTTCCTGTTGGAAAATAAACACGGGCAGGCCGTCTTCAATATCGCCGTTGGACTGTTCATATATAAAGTCGGAAAAGCGCGTGTAGTAAGTTGTTGCGGATAGGCTCCAGGTGTCAGCGCGATAGCTGAGCGTTGCAGACAGATTGGCTGCCTTTTCACTGTCAAGATCCGGATCACCTAACTCGAATGCATTGGTGACCAGGTGAGGCCCATTGGAGTAGAGCTCTTCGGCGACGGGCGCGCGGGAGGAGTAGTCTGCGAGTAACCCTAAAGTCCAGCCATCCGAAAATGGTATAACCAGCCCGATTGATGTGGCAAAGGGCGTAAAGTCCTGATCAGGGCCAACACTGGGTTTATGCTCTACGCGGCCAATTCTAACGCCTGTCTCCAGGCTGAAGTTTTCAAACTCGCGCTCACCAACCCAGAACAGACCGGTATCCGTTGTATCGACGGGTGGCACAAAGGCTTCCTCACCAACCGCAGAGAATTCTCTGTCGGTGTGTTGCAGGCCAAATGCGCCCTTCCATCGAGCTTGTTCGTAGATTAACTCGCCGCGTAGTTCCCACGCTTTATTGGTGAATACAGAGCCGACTTCGCCGCTGGGTTCAATCTCTTTATGTTCGTAGTCGTTGACACCCAGGCGTAAATTCAAGCTGGTGAAGTTTGCAAAGGGATCTTTGATGGCAAGCTCAACGTCGGTGCGGGTTTGTTCCATGTCCAGCAGCGGTGTGCCTTCTGCCTCTTCTTCGCCACCTTCTTCTTCGGCATGACCGTGCCCGCCAGGTAAGCCGTACTCGGCATCCGAGCGGCTGACGGATGCGCCAATCAATCCCCAATCAGCGATATAAGCTAAACCGCCGGCGTAAGACTTGGCATCAAATGCGCTGCCAGGCAATGTACCGCGAGCTTCCTCTTCTCCATCCTCACCTTCTTCTTCAGCCTCCAAAGCTCGAAGGCGGGCTGATTCAGCGAAACCAGGAATTTCGTAGTCATCGCCATCTTTCCACGTACCGTCCAGATGCCAGGCGACCTGGCCAATACTGCCGTTTACTTTTGCAGCGGTCGTATTACCCTGGGTATTGTCGTTGTAGCGGCTCTCGATGCCGCCGCTGATTGGCTGATCGGTAAGATTGTGCGGAATACGACCGGTGTGTACATCTACGACACCACCAATCGCGCCGGATCCATACAGCAGGGTGCTTGAACCTTTGAGAACCTCGATTCGATCCGCAATGAAAGGTTCAATGCTGACCGCATGATCAGCACTGGTGACAGATACATCTAATGTATCGATACGGTCTTCCATAATACGAACGCGAGGGCCGCCAAGTCCGTGAATTACGGGGCGCCCAACGGCGTTGCCAAACTGCGCCGAGTGTATGCCTGGTTCCTGAGCGAGGGTTGCGCCGATGTTGGCGGCAAACTTTCGCTCCAGTTCTTTGCCCTGCAGGACTTTACTGGCTTGTGAAAGCCCTTCACCGCTTAAAGGGTGCGCAATGACAATAATTTCTTCCATTGGTGCAGCTGCTGATGGCGCAGTCTCTGTTTCGCTTGCGTAGCTCGTAAAACTGACGGCAAGCAAGCTTGCGCCCAGAAAGGGCGCGATTCTTCTAGATTTCACGTGTGACTCCTTACAACGATGCGAGCGATTACCGCGCGCACAAGATATTTAATTTTATGTCTTAAGTTGTTGGTTCAGAGGTGGGGCGCGGGACTGGAATGCCGGCCATTGGGCAGATGTCTGGGCGTGCTCGCTGCAGCCTATGCGCCAGAATGCCTGATGTTTTGTGGTGGGTGTTTTTCCTGCAGCGGTATGCGCAACGGGACTGTGATCGCCGTGCGCACAGATGACACAGGTATTCAGATCATCTGCGGAATGAAAATGTTGCTGCGCCAGGGTCTGACTGGCGGCAAACACCAGCAGCACGCCGACCAACAGGTACCGTATGCGGCTCAATCGGTTTGAGGGGGTGCTTTGTAAGGTTCTAGTTTTCACAGCAGCGTAGTTTGCCTGGATTCGCGGCAAATGGTAGATCTGATTTTACCGATGTTGAGCGTGATAAAAACCGTTACTCGTTGCACGATTTATAATACAACCTGCTGCAGGCTTTCAATCAGCGCAGCGGTTTTGCCTTCAATGGTGTCGGTCAAGCCCACGACATAGACACTGCGCTGAAATTTGGGCGCATTTTGTACCGTGTAAATTCGCTGCTCCGCCAGATCTTTCTCAACCATCGGGCTGGCAAGGTAACTGCTTCCCCCATGGCGCAGCAGTAACTGATAGGCCGACATTGGAGAGTCTGTTTTTAACCAGAGGTTCGGCGCAGCCTCACGTTCAGCTTCCTGCGCGGCAATGAACGAATTGCCCCAGTCGACCAGAATATAGTTTGAAGCCTCTGTATCCACCTGGGCATCCTTCGCGGTAGTGACCAGCAGTAGTTCAAAATCCGTGAGTTTTATGTGGTTGAGATCTGGTGCCCTGGGAGGTTCGTAAACAATACCCAGGTCCAGAGAGCGGTCTCGAATGCGACGAACGATTTCGAGGCTGCCCAGGGACTCGATCTGCAGACGTGCATTGGGTGCCGCGTCCGGTTGACGGAGATCGACCAGCCAGTTATCCAGATATATTTCGCGCAAACTGGGTAGACAGCCCAGCGCGACAAGTGCTTCGGCTGCTCCCGTGTGGCGCGTCGCCAGCATGGCTCGAGACCAGGACGCCAGCATCGCCTCGGCGTGGGGTAGGAGTTGATGGCCAGCCAGAGTGAGTTGAATATTGTTCCGTTCACGCGTGAAGAGCGCTTGCCCCAGTATCCCTTCCAACTGCTTGATGCGGGCACTGACAGCAGCCTGGGTGACAAATAAATTTTCCGATGCACGAGCAAAATGACGGGTTCGGTGTACCTCGAGAAAGGTACGTATCAGTTCAATATCCATAAGCAGATTTTATTAAAACGGCCAGTAAATATTGATTTATTGTTTATCCAAAAGCGAATAAAAATTTGTTCTGTCCGCGCTGGTCAGCAGCGCGGAACAGCCCTGAAAGTCCCTTGGCAGGTGCAATCTGTAAGGTGCAGCCTGCCTTTTTTGGATGCGAAATATGAGTCAAGAACCCCTAATTGATGACTATGCAGAAATGGATGATGAACTGTCAGAGTCGTTACTGGCCCAGCTGGAAAATTTTGAAGCACGGCATTCGTTGCAGCTGGATGTATCCGCCCGACGTAAAAATGAAAAACTTAGAATACGGCGTCAAATTGAAGAGTGGAGCGATATCCGCCGCCGCCGCGAGGAAACTGACTACCTGCATTAAGTAAGAGAGGACTGAAGCCGCAGCGCCGTACTCAAACCGCTTATGTAGGTACTGTGTGCGGTCGCGCGCTTGGTTGTACTTAGCTGAGCCGGCTTCTCTAGGGCGCGTTATCATGTCGTTTTCGTCCAAGGTTCTCTGGCATGCTAATGTTTGTGTTGGGGGCAATATTTGTCCTTAACCCGCTACTAGGTCATTTCTGTCGGCGTATGGGTGTGCCTGTATCGGTGGGCTACATTGTGCTGGGCCTGCTGCTGGGTGCGCTTCTGCGCCCATTTGATTTGCAAAGCACCGATTTTGACAGTGTCTTTGCGGCGCTGGGCAGCCTTGGAGTGGTCGCTTTGCTGTTTCGCGTTGGGCTCCGGAGTCATACCAGCGCGCTGCTGGAGAAATTACCTGCCGCCAGTCTGATCTGGATCTCGAATGTGGTGGGTAGCTTGTTAGTTGGGTTTGTGGTGGCACATTTTGTGCTCTCCTGGTCCGTTGAAACCAGCCTGATTATTGCTGTGGCGTTCAGTGCTACCAGCGTCGCTGTTTCTGTAGCGGTCTGGGATGAGACGGGGAAACTTGCCAGCAGTGAAGGCCAGATGTTAGTCGACGTGGCGGAGCTGGATGACCTGTCTGCGGCGATATTGCTTGCCGTTCTGATCGGTGTTCTGCCTGCAATGCTGGTTGGGCAAGTTGATATCTGGTCCCAGGTTGGATCTGCGTCACTGATTATTTTCGGCAAGCTTGCGGTGTTCATGTCAGGTTGTTACCTGTTTGCGTTCTTTCTCGAAAAGCGGTTTACCAGTTTTAACGCGCGGCTCAGTGAGTCTGAGTCGATTATGACGATTTCTATTCTCGGTGCTGGCCTGGCAATTGCGGCACTGGCGGATGCCTTAGGGTTTTCATTAGCCATTGGTGCCTTGTTTGCTGGGTTGGCATTCAGCCGGGATCCTAATGCTGTGCGTACAGACGGGCGTTTCAGCTATATCTATGATCTGTTAACACCATTTTTCTTTATACACATTGGTATGCAAACGGACGTAGGTGCGCTTTTCACCGCGCTGGATATCGGGCTTGTGCTTTTTGTTGCGGCGGCGGGTATAAAGGTTGTGAGCACAGCACTCCCCGCTTTGCTGTCCATGAATCGGACCCACGCACTGATGCTTGGTTTAAGTATGGTGCCGCGCGCCGAAATTGCGCTGGTGGTGATGTACACCTGTAGCGCTATCGACCCTGCGCTCGTGCCTGACGATGTGTTTGCCAGTATGGTACTGGTCTCACTGGCGACCTGTATTGTTGCGCCGGTGATGTTAAGAAAGATGATGTCTGATTAGGTTTTATTCCCTTATTTATTGCCATTTACCGACGACGCAAATCGCAGGTGAGGATTTAAGCGCTAAAGTGTGTGTCGCTATGTTCTCCAGACCGATGTCGTGCAACATGGCTTTAAGCTCGGCTGCTGTATCCTGTGCTTTATCTGCGGAGACTTTCGCGCCTCTGGGTTGGTAGGTAATGGCTAACGTTCCGCTGGGTTTTAGATGATTACAAAGCAGATGCAGTGTGTGGTGGTTCAAGCCGTTGAATTGTAGCGAGTTAACTGCAAAAATTTTGTCATAGCGCTCCGGCAGAGTTGTCAGTCTGGAAATATCAGCGGCAATCAGTTTTAACCGGCCTTGTGCAAGTGCGGTTTTGTTTCTGCGCCTCGATGCTTCTAACATCAGCTCTGAGTGGTCAATTGCAGAGACCTGACCATGAGTTACCTTAGTCAGAATATGGTGCAGCGTCTCACCAGGCCCCGGCCCGATTTCCAGCACGCTGTCACTAAATTTGAGTTCGAGCAGTTCTGCAGTCCATAAGTTGCGCCTCAGATTGGAGCGCCTGTGTGCCATGATCCAGCCGGCGATTCGCCCCGCAAAACCTTCAGGATGCCTGAACTGTTTCACAATGAAGGGCGTCATGAAAGCACCTGTACTTGTGGCTTGGTCTGGTGCGGTAGCGTTACGAATGGAGAACGAAGCAGCCACCAGAAGTTGTTGGCCTTGGCGCCTCGTACTTCCTCCAGGCCCAACCGCATGACATCCAGGGGTGCTTGTGTGTTCGTTCGGAAAGTGCCCAGAACAATATCCCAGATAGGCAAAACAGCTGAATAATTACTGTTGGTTTCTGCTTCGATAGTTGAATGGTGTACTTTGTGCAGATCCGGCGTGACGATCAGATAACGTAAAAATCGATCAATTTTGTGGTGGATCCGCAGGTTGGAATGGGAGAACAGAGTGACCCCTACGTCCATTAATTCGTAAAGAATCAGTACCCATGGGCTTAGCCCTAACAACAGGATTACGGGTAAACCGATCATCAGAGAGACTGGCATCTCCAGGGGATGGAATCGCACTGTACTGGATACATCTAACTCAGTATCCAGATGATGTACCCGATGTATTCGCCACAAAAAAGGCACTTTGTGATTGAGCCAGTGAGTGGCGTAAGAAACAAAGCTGCGACTAGCCAGGGTTGCACCTACTAATACCCAGCCGGGTAATTGTGTTCCCGACAGGTTCAGTAACCCGAAGCCTTGTGCTTCGGCCCACCAAGCGGCTGAAATAAATGACAGCGGCAAAGCAGGCAGTGTGAGAATCGCCAGAATACTGAGTGCGGCGTTTGTGCGCCAACGATTGATTTGTGACTCTGGTGGGAGCCGCTTTGGTAAGAATCGCTCAATAATGAGCAGGCTGCAAAGCAAAGCAAAAAAGAGATAAACCTGAAATTCTTCGCCGTATTGAATAAGCCAATCCTGCATGTCCTTTCTCCAAAATGACAATATTGGTTGTCAATATAGCCGCAAAAAACATGTTTGACAATATATGTTGTCATTGTGCTGTTGGCGTTGCAAAATTATGGTTCGTAATGGTGAGGCTAAATGTTGATGTATAGCGCGTCAGAGCAACTGATCAATGAAGTACGACTGCTGTATCAATCCATGGTGCAGATGGGTGAACAGATTCATAAAGGCTCAACCATTTCCATGGGCATGCGTGCTGTGTTGGAGTATCTGGACCGTAATGGCCCAACAACGGTGCCACAGATGGCAAAGGCCAGAAGGGTTACGCGTCAACGTATTCAAACCCTTGTTAACGCGCTGCTTGCCGAAGGGCTTGTTGAGATACAGCCAAACCCAGCCAGCAAACGATCTCCGCTGGTCGGGTTGTGTGAAACTGGCGCTGCGAAAATCCTGCAGATGAGGGAGCACGAAGGTAGATTTATGAAGGTTGCGATAAGCGACAAAAAGTTACGCGATGCAGCAGCTACACTCGCTATTCTGCGTGACACACTAGAGCAGGGTTATGCTAGTTTGTCAGACTCAGACAAAAAGTAGGACGGTGCGATGACGACACAAACAGCAATCGGTCAGGTGGCTGGCCTCTACCGATACCCGGTCAAGTCTATGGCGGGAGAAACGCTTACCCAGGCCACACTGACTTCTGTGGGGTTGCTGGGAGATCGGGCTTACGCGCTGATTGACGTGGAGACAGGCAGGGTAGTCAGCGCCAAAAGTGTAAAACGGTTCCCGGGTGTACTGTCCTGCCAGGCCAGTTTTTTAACACCGCCCAGCGTGGGTAAACCGCTGCCGGGGGTTCGCATCAGCCTGCCGGACGGTGCGCAGGTATGCAGTGACGATGACGATTGTGATGCTGTGCTGTCTAGTCACTTCGGGCGTGAAGTGAGGCTTGCTTCATCCGCGCCAAAAGATTTTACCATCGACCACTACTATCCGGATGTCAGCGGTGCTGACCCTGCGGGCAACAGCGACACAACCCTTGCGCAACCTCTGGGCGCGGCCTTATTCGATGCGATGGGTGTAGATTCACCGGTGCCACCGGAGTCCTTTTTTGATGTTTTCCCTTTGTCTGTGATTACCTCCTCTACATTGAATCAGCTGAGTCAGGCGAAACCTGACAGTAACTTTGATCAGCGTCGCTTCCGCATGAATATTGTTATCAATACCAGTGAGCAAGGATTTATCGAGAACGATTGGATAGGCGAAGCACTGCTGTTAGGTGATCAGGTGGGTATTGTTGTTACCATGGCAGATCCACGCTGTGTGATGACCACATTGGCTCAGCCGGGTATCGAGCAGGATATTGACGTTCTAAAAACGCTGGTCAAACACAATCGCATCCAGGTAGGCGAATCAGGCAAGTATCCTGTGGCAGGCGTTTATGCCGCGGTGACCGGCGCTGGTGACGTGCAGGTGGGCGATGGCGTAGTTAACGCTGTCGGGTAGTCTCTCCCCGACGGCTATTCCTCAGCAATAACCTTAATCGGTGCACGCGCAAGAATGTGATGTTGTAGCCCGGTAACGTATCGTACTTCGTAAGCACCCGGTCCAGCCTGTGTCGGGTAAGCGGTTACGGTGCCGGAACCGGATTGTTCTTTTGTCAGAAAACCATAGCGTGGCGTTATGTTCCACATCTTTCCGGCAGGGCGATCCGCAGGTACCACAACAACGCGATCACCTTTGTAATTTGGGCCGCTGTACTGCACATCGAAAGACTCTCCAACTGCGATCTGCACAGGCGCGCGCAACGTGGCTTTTGCTTGAGTAATGTTCAATGGCTTGCTGGAAAGTAATCGTCGGCCAGGTTCAAGAAAGTAGGCTATTTCGTATTTACCGGGCACGTTGGGTACCTGGATAGAGAAATCTGGTTGCACAACACCACGCACCGTACGTAAAGCCATGGCTTCTCGATTAAACTTCTTTGTGCCGGCGGGAATGATGGAAATCATATCGTTTTCGAAGCCAGCCACATCACTAGCCTCGACGGTAATCGTTGAACCACCAACAACCTCGTCAGGCGCAGAGAGGGTGACGGAAATTTCTGTCAAGCTCAGTGGTGCTCTGGCGGCGATGGTGTGTTGCATGCCTTCGTAGAGCGTGTAGCCGTTTGTCAATATGTAGCGGATCTCATACTCGCCCGGTGTTGCGGGTGCCTGCACGTTTAAGGTCTGCCCCTTGTTGGTTTTGACCGTGCGTTTGTTGTCATAAATTGATGCTGAATCCGCTTTTACTATCGAAATAAAATCGTCAGGGTTTGCATCGCCCGACCATTGCACATTAACGGTGCTTGCCACAGACGCCGATGTAGGCGCACTTAGAGAGAAAGGTCTGCCGGTGACGAGGATGGGTTGCCGAGCGAGGATTACCCTGGGCTGGTCAAGCACATAACGCACTTCATAGTTGCCAGCGATGGAGGGTCCGCCAATCTCAACCCGCGCGAGGTCGTTGTCATCAAAGTTGCCGTCACCATTGCTGTCGAGTAGGGCTTTATCCTCGGTTCGCGTGGCAAAGTCGGTTCTGGCCTTTGCCGCCGCAGTGCCATAGATATAGTCTCGTGGGCTATCATCCAATGCGGTGACATAGATATACGCTCCCAGTGTGTCCGGGCCGCGCCAGCTGACCTCAAAGGGTTTCGCCGCGGTTATCGAGTCTGGTGCTGACATTGTTACCGCCAGACCCATGTTGATGGGCACGGTTATTACCCGAGGTTGCTGCGCGGCCACTGAGAAAGACAGTTGGCCAGTTAGCTCAGAGTTGTTTGCCCAGCCGCGCCAGGTTGCGATGGCGATGTATTCGCCGGGTGCCAGTTCGGTCTGTGTGATACCGGCAGAAACAGCGGTGTGCACAATCTTGTCAGTGCCTGCGACAAGTACCGACCAGTCAACCTGCCTCTGCAGCAGCGGTCCACCCTGTAGAAGCGTGGCTTTAAGAATTACTTTGGAGGGCAGCGGTTCAGGTGCCCCAGGCGTAACCGCGGCTACCGTGGTTAATGCCTGGGCCAGCTCCTGTGCGTTTTGGGCGGTCATCAAGCTGCCGCCGGTTTCCTCCGCAATACACTGTAAACCCTGACGCTCAGATTCCGTAACATCAAAACCAACAACGTGGACCGTAAAATCCAGGCCCTGTTGTTCTAAGGTACGTGCCAGTGCGCAGGGGTCAGCATCACAGTTTTCCAGGCCGTCAGAAACCAGAATGACGGTTGCAGCCTGATTTTTGTAGTTAAGGGCTGTGGCAGCATGAGCGACAGACGCTGTGAGGGGTGTTTTGCCTTTCGGAGAAACCGCTCGTAATTGCTTGACCACCGCCTCGCGTGTTGCACCTACCTGTGAGAGGGTTTCGATGTCTGCGCAATCAGCTTTCTTGCGATGGCCATAGGCGACCAAACCAATGCGCTGCGTGTCAGGCAGGCCCCAGACAAGTTCTTCCATAACATCTTTGGCAATCACAATTTTGTTTATGCCGTCTATCTGGCCCCACATCGAACCTGAAGCATCCAACACAAAGAGAGTGTCTTTGATCTGGGCCTGGTTCGCAAAAGTATAGTTAAACAACGAGCTTGTCAGAGCGAACAGAATAATCGCAGTTGTTGGCTTAGATCGCATCAGCATGCTTAACCCTCCCAGGTAATGCCGTAGATTTTTTTTACCATGGTTTTACACACGGGTTCTAGTTTAGGCATAGAATTGTTGAAAAATAACGCGGGTGGGGATCTGATGAATAAATATCTGGCTGAGTCGTTTGGTACGTTCTGGTTAGTCTTTGGCGGATGCGGCAGCGCCGTGCTGGCAGCGGGTTTCCCTGAGGTGGGCATAGGTCTGTTGGGTGTCTCTTTAGCATTTGGATTAACCGTGCTGACAATGGCGTATGCCATTGGCCACATTTCCGGTTGTCATTTGAATCCGGCGGTTTCTGTCGGCTTATGGGCTGCCGGTCGATTTCCCGCGGGTGAATTGCCGGGTTATATCATCGCCCAGGTCATTGGCGGTCTGATCGCGGGCGGTGTGCTTTACGTTATTGCCAGCGGTGCACCAGGTTTTGATCTGGCTGCCGGTTTTGCGTCCAACGGTTATGCGGAACACTCACCCGGAGGCTACTCCATGGTGGCAGCCCTTGTTGCTGAAGTGGTGCTGACCATGATGTTTCTGATCATTATCCTTGGCGCGACCGACGACCGCGCGCCTGCAGGCTTTGCACCCATCGCGATTGGTCTTGGTCTGACACTGATCCACCTGATCAGCATTCCGGTCACCAACACGTCAGTCAACCCAGCACGTAGTACCGGGGTGGCGTTGTATGTTGGCGATTGGGCGGTTGCCCAGCTGTGGCTGTTCTGGGTCGCACCTGTTGTGGGCGCGTTACTCGGTGCGATGGCTTATAAAGTGCTAGGTAAAGCTGAGGACTAACACTCTGAAACTGGAAAGCGGGTGTTCAGCGGAGCATAAACGTTGACGCCCCATGGGGGGTACTCGTTAACATAGGCCTTTGCAATTATTGTTATGGAATCCCTATGTCAAACGAAGGCTACCACGAACCGATCAGCGAGCTGACCGATGAAACTCGAGACATGCACCGGGCGATCACGTCTCTGATGGAAGAACTCGAAGCTGTCGATTGGTACAACCAGCGCGTTGATGCCTGTAAAGACGATGAGCTTAAAGCCATTCTTGCGCACAATCGTGACGAAGAAAAAGAGCATGCGGCTATGGTCCTGGAGTGGATTCGTCGTAAAGACCCCCGCTTTGACAAAGAACTGAAAGATTATCTATTCACCGAAAAGCCTATTGCTCATCAATAGTGACAGGATGGCCGGCAACACCTGATCAGTAATCAGCCGGTGGCTTGAACAGAAGGCTTTGTCTCCGGGTCAGTCTGATGTAGGCGTTCGACTATTTTGGTGTTTTGCTCTGCAATGCGTAGAGCGCTGCGAAGCAGCTCCAGGGCGGTGTTCAGACCACTTAGAGGGAGTTGCCCAACGGTCGCTTTCTGCAGCAGAGTGCTTTTGAGGTCATGCCATTGTTTGCGTAACGCTTCGTATTGGGCATCGAGATTGTTCGGGTCGATGCTCTCCGCGCTGAGGTCACAGGCGCGCAGCAGCGCCAGTATATTGTTCAGATAGTGTTCACAGGTTTCTCCCGCAGCGCTGTTTCGGAGGCGTTGCAGATCTGCGGCCTGGTGGGCAATTTCCTCCGCCAGGGCGCCTACCTCTGCCAGATAGTTGTTGGTCCGTAAAATCGAGGACAATTCAACGGTAGTGGCTTCGCCCAGGCGCTCCCGTTCCAGTTGGTTTACAAACGATTCCACCCCCTCATTCAATGCCGTGAGGGCGACGTGTAAATGTTCGATTTCAGAAGCGCGCGCTCCGTTGATCGCAGCCATGGCATGTTCCCGGGAAAGGTTCGCCATGCGGCGCAGTTCAAGGCGTAACGCATCGATCGCAAGCGCGGGCGACACCATGACGTTTTTGTCCAGATGCACCGGCTGGCCGAGTTGTTCGGCGACAGTTTTGAATCGGCTGAGCAGAAATCTGGCAAGTTGCTGGGTATAGCTCCACATGATGGCCACGCCCAGAATATTGAAGACGGTATGGAAAATAGCCAGATTGACAGCCACCATCGCCTGCAGACCAAAAGTTTCACTGGTCCAGGCCACCAGTTTCAGCAGGATCGGTAACAGCAGTAATGCAACCGCACCGGTGACAACGTTGAAAATAACGTGTGCTGCAGCGACCCGTTTTGCATTTGAGGTGGCACCGATAACTGATAGTGCCGCGGTTGAAGTGGTGCCGACGTTTGCGCCGATCACCATCGCGGCGGCGGCATCCAGCGCCAGCACGCCGCCTGTGGCCGCGGTCAGAGTAATGGCTATGGCTGCGCTGGAAGACTGGGTTAACAGGGTAGCCAGAAATCCCGCCAGCACATACAGCAATAAACCCAAGGCGGAATCGCTGGACAGTGAGGTGAGGTCCATGCCTGCGGCAAACCCCTGAAAAGCCTCGCGCAGCACGTCTATGCCGATAAAAAACAACCCAAAACCGGCTATGGCTTCACCCAGGGCACCAATTCTGTTTGCAGCACCGACAAGCCGCATGGCCATACCGATGCCGATCATCGGCAATGCAAACAGCTCAATCTTGAATTCAAAACCAACCACGGCAACCAGCCATGCGGTCATGGTTGTGCCGATATTTGCGCCATAAACGATACCCAGGGCCTGCAGTAGATTGAGCAGCCCGGCATTCACAAAGCCGATGGTTGCGACGGTTACCGCGCTTGAGGATTGCACTAAAGACGTCATCAAAATACCCGAAACAACACCGCGTAGCGGTGTTCTGGTCGACCGGGTAAGGATCTCTCGCAGAGCGTCACCTGCGGCGAGTTTCAAGCCGTCAGTGATCATGGTGACAGCGAGCAGAAAAAGGCCAAGTCCACCGAGCAGTGAGCCGATGATAAACACGAGATGCAGGTTGGTCTGTTCTTCTAACACGGTTGGCCAGTATTTGTGTTGGGAATCACTGGAGTAACTGTATCGGTGATGTGCCCGCAGCCACAAGGGGGCTGGACGCGCTATTATCGACTCAGGAAAGCTTGCCTGATTTTATTGTCCACTTGCGGATCCTGAATTCAGCAGGCGCTTTATCTGCTTGCGGCTGATGAAGCGTAGAAAAGCGATGTCTCCATAAGCTTCAGAGTGCATCAGCTGTTCATACTTCACGCCAGTGGATTGATGATGTGTGATTGACCACCAGATGACTGAGTCTTTTGAAAAAAAAGATTTTTTCAGAGACTCGCGATTGCCGGTATCTGGCCATAGCTCTGTTTGAGATAACGATCTTTGTATGGCGCGACGGGTGACGCGGTAAGTTGTGGTCAGGAACGGCAGATCAATCCAGACAAGAAGTTGAGCGCGTTTGAGCTTGATGGGAAAGCTTCGAGAATAGTTACCGTCCAGTACCCATTGTGGACATGCCGCAACCTGTTCGACCTTGGGTAGAAATTCTTCATCGGTTGATTCCACCCAGTTGGGTTTCCAGAACAACTGGTCCATCTCGAAATAGGGTAGCTGCAGCGCCTCTGCCAGGCTTTTTGCGAAAGTAGACTTGCCGCTCCCGGATGTACCTATGACATTGATGCGTTGGTATTCTGCCAAGTTGTCCAACGTGCTTTTTTGCGCGTCTAGAATCTTCATGTTTCAAGCTGGCTGCTGTGACCTCGGGCGATGATGACGTCTGCGGCCTGTTTGACAAACAACTCTGTACGGGTACGGCGTGTGGCTTCAACCTGGGCTTCAAGCCCCCAACTGTGCATGGTTGCCAGGGCTGCAAAACCGACATAAGCGTCCCACAGCGGCAGATCACTGAAATCCAGATTTGAGTGCAGCAGGTAGTGATCTGTAAACAGTGTCATCGCCTGCTGCCCATACATTGCCACGATTTCTGCCCGACAGCAGGCAACGTCTGAGACAGGTGTGCCAATCGCTGCATCCTCCCAGTCGATCACGCCAACAATTTGATCATGTTGCCAGATGATATTGCCTGGCCAGAAATCACCGTGAAGAATGCTTGCAGGTACCGTTTTTGCCTGCCAGCTGGCAATGGTTTCGCGCAGCGCAGACCATTCTGGTGTATCTGGAACGTACAACAGAGCACCTGCAACAGGGTCTTCGCGTTGCGGCAAACCGGGAACCGAAATGCTTTTTGGATCTAGCTGGTGTAAGCGCAGTAAAAAGTCGGCCATGTCTGTCACTGCCGATTCTACCTTCTGCTCAGGCACTGATGTGGTGCCATTGACCATCCGCATAACCGCGTACGGAGTCGGGAGAATTCTGCAGGTGCTGTCTAACAGAATCTGTTCAGCCACAGGCAGGCCTATCTGAAACAGCACCCGCTGGAGTTCAAATTCAATGCCTATGGTGTTATCTGCTTGGTCTTTCCATTGGTGTTCGCCAGCGCGGCGAAGGACAAAACACTCTCGGGTACCGTCAGGCATGCCGAGTTCCAGGGCATCTATGGCTGCAGAAACGCCTCCGGTGAGAGGCCAGTGACGAATGAATTCTGCCTGTCCTGCAATGCGACGGCTGATAGATTGAAAAACGGCGAAGCGCTGAGAGTCATTCATGATGGCTAATTGCTTGAGGCGCTCGAGGAGAACGCATCCTATCTCACCTTTGACGTTCTGAACCACCTGCAAGCAGGGCGCCTTGCGGCAGATGGTGAATAGGTGGACACTCAAACCGCGTTTTTGATAACGGCATAGCGTTATGATTTCAGTACCAGCAGACCAGCTTCCACATCCGATGGACAATATTCCTATCAGGAATCTGCGTTTCGACACAAAACAACTCAGTGGCCAAAGTGCGCTGTGGAGTGACACTGAGCCTGATTTTTCGATGTTCATCAATGCTCTGGGTATACACGTACCCTACTTCGAAAGGTTCCTGGTGGCTGTCTTTCGCGGTATACGTGCCGATATTAAGGATGCTGATCTCCTGCGCGACGTGAAAGGCATCATTGGTCAGGAAGCACATCACGCCTTCAATTTTGTTGGCTGGAACAAGGTGATGAACGAAACGTATCCTCGGGTGAGTGAGCTGGAGGCAGATGCGGAATCACATTTTGCGGCCATGCGGAGCAAACGCAGCACATTCTTTCAGGTTGGATATGTGGCCGGGTACGAAACGTTTACCTTCTTAGCCGGCGCCATCATTCTCGATCGTTACGAGGAACTTATGGGAGATGCCGACCCGGTCATGCGCGCGTTGTGGGTCTGGCACCAGGTTGAAGAGGTGGAACACGGCGCCGTTGCTTTTGATGTGTACAACTACTTCTATGAAGATCGTGAGTGGGCGCGCAAATTTTTCGTGTTGCTCGCTTTTACTCACATTACCAAAGAGACCCTGCGCGCCTATCTGCATATGGGCCACGTCGAAGGGTTCTGGCGTGCGCCTGTTCGTGGCTTTAAAGCCGCAAAGTTTTTCGTGCGATTTGCGCTGGATCTTGCCCGCTCTGCCCTGCCGGTTTTAAAGCGTAACTACCATCCCCGTAGTCATCCTATCTGTAATGAACATCAGAACAGAATAGCGCTGGCATGGCGTGAGCGATATGACGCAGGCCTAACCACATTGGCCATCGAGCAGGGTGACTTAACCCATGCGTTAGAAGCAGCAACAGGCGGAGCCGGTTCATGAGCACAGAAACAAATGTGATGGTGCGCAGAATCATTGCTCACGCGATGCTGGTGCTTGTTGTCGGTTTGGTTGCAGGGGTGCTACTGACGTTTTCCCTGCTTGGGGAAGTTGCCCTGTGGCCATTGCCCGCTATTGATTGGCAGATTTTTGGTTCGACCCGCGGCTGGCAGGCCGCTCACGTCGGCGGCATTTTGAATGCAGTGATGCTGGTGGCACTGGC